ATTCAAATACGGAAATTAATTTTTCTTTGAATATGGATTAGCTTTAGCTTTGAAATAAAAATAAAATTTAACATTCAAATAAGACATTTAAATAATTTAAATGGCGTTTTAGCGAAGTTTTTTTAGGAAGTCTGGAACGATACCTACTATAATAATAGGTATCTCTACTAATTCCCAGATAAAGAGCATACCATGATGAAAAAAGGCCCCAAACCTGACGAAAAAATTTTTATAGTCTAAATATTTACATTATTATTAAGAGGAAAGACCAAAGTATTTTATCAAATTTTTTCATCCTTTTTAGAATATTCGAAATTTTGATTAAAAATCTTTTTTTATGTGTGTCAGCGGAATACCATTAAAATCGATGATGTCCGCCATTTTTGACAAATTGGTAAAGAAAAGTTGAATTCTCCATTTAAAATTCTTGTAAAAAGTTATTTGAGGAAAATTAGAAAATTTCAAGTTTACTTAATCTAATTTGAAACAAATATTATTTACTTCTTTTAGTTTTTCTAGCAGAAAAATGTAATTTTTAATAAGAGAAGCATGTCTTAACCGCGTTGACTTGATTTTGAGGTGTTAACAGTTACATCGATGTATTGACAGACTAGGTCAGAGGGGAAGTTATCGGCTGGAAGCACAGAAGTGGCATATTTTTTCTAAATTTAAGTGAACTTATTTAACTACCCAGTAATTTAAAATTTAAGAAATACTTTCAGCAATCTAATATTGTATTGATTTTTTATAGTCTTACGTTATGAAGATGCTATTTTGAAAAAATAGAATTTAAAATACTAAAAATAAAATCACTTGAAAAATTTAATAACAGAGAGTGAGACAAAATTTCATAAGAAGGATGCCTATAATTTTACATACATCTCTTCTGAAATTTTATGGTATTAATTTTTATATTATCTCAGCTGTGAAAAAAAAATCATAACTGAGATAATATAAAAATTAATAATAAATGAAAATAATACGATAAAATTTCATAAGAAAGGGTACCTAATAGGGTACCTTTCTTAATTATGAAATGTTATTTTTTATTTGTTATTTTTTTCCTTATTTTTAATATTAATTGTTATAATATGACAGTTATGAAAATGTGAATTTTTATTAATTATTTACACTATTTACATTGTTCGGACTGTTGTTCTCATCTTTGTTGCCATATTGACGACGTTTCGGCCGTTGTAAGCTCTTGCATTCTTCATCGTTGGTTGGATCCAGTCACTTGACCGACTGAGTTGTGAGTTCGATACCTGGCTACTGCAGTAGTGAACAAAACTTGGAGAGTTTAGTTAAAGGGAGATAACTGAGACACCCGGAAGAGACATGGCACGTGAAACTGAACAACCCACCCTGAGAGACGAAAGGTTTCAGTTCTAAATTCCAATCACCTGAAGAAGGCCAGAGCGTACAGCATCCGAAACAGTCCGAACAATGTAAATAGTGTAAATAATTACAATGCCTCATCTCAGAAATATAGACAAGATTATTTGTACTAATCATATAATAGTTTACACTTATTTTATTTACTCGTAGTCCACTAACAAGAGAAGTGTCAAAATAAAATAAAAAACAGCTATTTCAGACCGTGACGAAGATGCCTAAAGACTGGAGAATGTGATTCCCTTAGTTTTCGCTTCTAGAATTGAAACTAAAAAAAGAAAATAATTAATTAATAAATCTATAATGTCTCTGAAAAACAATAAATTAATTATATTTAAAAAATTAAATTAAAAATATTTAGTGAAATAGGGCATAAATTTTTTTTTTTAAATGCGACGATGATGGTTAACGTCAGTTAGAGAATTCTTCAATACGGGCTCGCAAAATGAAAACGCAAATTCTCTGATGAAATATTATTGCCGTCGGGGAAACAACTCTTAAAACGAGTGACATTTTAATGCCATGTCCGATCGTCCATACATTTGGAAAAAACGTTTTTATGCGCGCTCAAAAACAATGTTAAATTATTTTTTTAAAAATACAGGATTTCGCAGATTGTAATAAGCTTTCAAATTTATGATCTGTAATGATAGATCTGCTTAAAAACAGCATTCTCTAAACTCTACGGATTGAAACTTAATTTTAAAATATTTGACAACTTTATCATATTTTTTATTTAAAATTTAAAAAAAAAAACAATTCTTGTAAAAATTCATTGTTCATCGAAAAAATATTTTGGCTTCAAACAGTATTTTCCTTAACATGTATTATTCATAAAAACCATTAAAAGCTTTTCTAATTAAATGATTTTTTAGTTTTATTGGGTTTTGTATGTTACAGTTCAGAGCTGATTTTCGGTAACGGGGCGATTCGATTTTACAAAAAATCGATATATTTTTCAAAGATTTCTGCTTTTAACTAATACCATCAATTTTTCGAGTTTTCATAAAGTTAAGTGGGAGGACATATGTAAAAAAAAAAAACCAATATTTTTACCATGACTTCCTAAAAAATCATATCTAAAATAATTCATTTGTGAATAAGTTCTGGAAGTTTCATAAAAATTTGACAATTATTTAATTTTTTGCAAGAATTTCCAAAACAATGTGTTTTTAACGCCAAAAAAGACGCTAAATCTCCTTATACTAATCTTTAGCGGACCCGCTGTCGCAAAAAAACACAAGATTTTTAACGAAAATTTCGAACATGCTAGAAAGGATTAAAACATTTAATAAAATAATAAAAAATACTATGGTATTTCCTCTTAATAATAACATAAACACTTTGACGATAAAAACTTCGTTTTCTTTACGTTTGGAGCATTTTTTCATCACGGTATGCTATTTTTTTGGCAAATTAGTGGAGACGCCTATTATAATATGAGTCATGTTTGCGAACCAATCGTTGAGTGTAGTATCTGTTCGATTCTGCCTCTTTTAAGGTTGAAACAATTGCGCTTTCTGAGCGGGAAAACTAGAATCTTAAATGGATTGCGTATAACGGAAGGAAGGGAAAAAGTGAGAAAAGGTAGTATGAAAAAGTAAAGCTCCAAGAAGAAAATAACTAGAGAGAAAAACGGGTTAAATATCCGGGTAGATTACAGGTCTCTAATCATTGGGTCGTAACCTAAGAGATAAAGCGAAACTCTGAAACATCAAACCGTGAAGAAGCCAATGGAAAAACCCCGCAAAACCTTTCTTAGTATTGGATAGGTAATAAATAAAAAGAATATGTGGAGAGGCATGAACACTAAGGCCCTGCAAGAATAATGTATTAAAAAAAAATAAGAAGTCAAAAATACTTATATATTTTTTATTCTTTACTCGCACAGGAAATTAATCCATGTTTGTATAATATAAAACAAAAACATAGCAATAAAAACATAATAATAAAAAAAAAACATAGAGACGGGATGAAGTTTAGAATGGATAAGGGAAAGAACAAGAAGATACAGACAAATGTAAAGAAAATACCAGTGGCACTCAAGCGGTCATAGTTAATATAAATTACAATTTTAATTGATGTGATGAAATAAAGGAAACAGAAAAAAATCTCTGTTTCGAATTAAAATGAAAAACTGAGATAAGACATAATAAAAGGAAATAAATAACGCGAAGCTTTCCCGGAGACTCGAATTCCTGAAACACATATGCCATAAGGTTGGGTCCTTTAAAAATCTGATTCCCTACCGAACAATATAGACTTACAGTGACATACGCTACTAATGTCCTTTATATTAACAGATGTGAGTTTCTATGGAGTCAATGATTTTCGTAATTGAAAATTTGTCCAAGGTTAATCCTTTACCGCACAGAAGAAATAAGTAATTCCTCATCTGCCCTTTGCTTCTTTTGTGTTGAATAATGCCGTGATATTCCACGATGAATGCAGCAAAAGAACAATCTAAATTTGTAAATGTGGACAGAAAGATCATGCTACTCAGTTATTTATTTATCTTTACTCTTCTCCTCCTCACCAGCTATGGGTTAAAAAGTAGAGGGTCTACTGAACTCTGAAGTCTTGCTAGGCAACCAATCTAAGCAAAGGAAAACTCTGAATCGTAAAACGGAGAAAAAACTAACGTTCTCGCCTGACATGAAGTAGAAAGACTAGATTGAATCCATTGCTATGTCAGCTGCTAAGAAAGTCGGTTCACTGGATCGTGCAAGACAATTTTTCTCTCCCAAATCTATCATACATATCTATAAGTCTGCCATTCATCCCTGCTTAGAATGTTGCTGCTACATATTGTTCAGTGCCACTGCTATTTACCTTCAGCTCCTTGATAAAACCCCCAAAAAATCAGCAATATTATCGGTCTTGATATGGCAGATCGGCTTCAGTCACTTTCACACTGCCGTAAAGTTGACTCTCTGTGTCTTCTCTACAAATAATTTCATGATAATTGTTCAGATGAGCTCTTCGCTATTGTACTTTTCGAATTTAAGTGTCGTACTAGACTGGAGTCAAGATCTCATAATCTCGTTAATTTTATGCTTGTAACGCCCCTGTGTGTCGACCCTTATCAGCAGTAACCAAATATGTACCCCTCCGGTCGGCATTCAAGTTCCTTCAGACTACAGGGTTTACCATTTAACTGACTCTTCACTGGTTAGCACGTAATTCGTTTTGTCGCTGGTATCGTGTTGGTGGTACGGTTTCACTCAACTTAGCTGACGTTTGTCTTTTAAGTACCATTCACTTCTCTGCCACGTTGTGTTTCTTATCTTAGAGGATCAGAAGATAGCTAATAAGCAAACTTGAGGCGAAGACGATTCGACAATCTGGGAGCTACACACACACACAACAATAACAACAACAAGAGTCCTTTGTAATAAAAAATTAACTCTGGCTAAAAATGAACAACGATTTGTTTTATATATGATTTGTTGCATACAGCGGTTTTAACCTTTCCCACTTGTTATAATCAAATGATACTGGGATCCCCTTCGGAGTCTGCAGCTTGTTTTAGTAATAATTTAAATTTCTAAATTCTCGTCTTCATGTCAGGCACAAGGTTCTTGGTCACGAGTTCTCGGCGAACGATGCAGATTCTGGTCTCCCTCTCCCTCTCTCTCTGTTGTTCTTGTTTTGTCTTCTGTTTTCTAATCTTCTGAGTCCAAAAATCTCCAGCTTATATTGAGTCCTGCGTCCGGCAGGGGTAGGATTGACTAAGGTCTGGGTTCAGTTCTCTTCTACCCTAAGTATCAACCTTTTCTAAATTTCCGTATATAAAATACATTTATTCAAGTGTTTTACCAAATTTGGGGTTTTCCATCCCCATTTTTTGAGTGTGGTCAGAGGGATCAATCTACCCCTTAACTTCAACTTTCTTTACGTCTCATTTCGCATCATCGCTCCATATAGGCGGTACTAATCTCCTTCCCTCCTCTCTCTCTCTCTCTCTCTCTCTCTCTCTCTCTCTCTCTCTCTCTCTCTTAGCTCTTAGTGGCTTTTTTGCCTTGCATGGTGTGAAACTGATTTTTAAAAAAGACAACGGGAAACCACTCCACAGAAAGGAAAACATCCTTAGAAAATGAAGAAAAAGAGAATTGGATTGCGATGTTATATAATATCTAATCTATTAACAGTGGATGTTGGATAATTTCCTCACAGATGAAGAAAGGATTTTGGAATTAAATCCATTGCAAAACGCTCACTTGCTCGGAACAGCAAGCATACTTAAGAAATTATTGGATATATCCTGTCGGGGAAAACAAGAAATGATCAGTTTATTTTCTTAAGTCAGGAGTAGAGACATAAAGATATACTTTTTTTAAAAACTAACAACTAACATCACATGCTATGAATAATAATAATAATAATAATTATAATAATAATAATAATTTCAAACAGGATTAGCAAGGAATTCTAACCAAAATAATAGTGAGATCGAACCTCACCGGCTAAATACTGTTCATGTTTTGTGCCAGACAATGTCAAGTTAGAAGTTCTGCATAACAGTAGCAATAAAGAAACTGGGGTTTTAATCGTTTGCCCTCGACGAGTGGCGTTCTGCTGAAAGCATGAAAATTATTTTTAATAAAAACGATAATGCTAAAATTGTATGATAAAAATAATTGAAATGTTGAGAATGAGTAAAAATTAATCTAAAAATTATTTTTAATAAAACAGATATTATGGAATTGTATGAAGAATTCATTAAGAAAATTAGAATGTTATTAAAAAGATTTCTCTGAAAAAGAAACCGCTAAAATGAAGCCAGACATTTTATTTAAAAGAAGAAAAAAAATGGATAAAAATTGATGCATAAAGATTTGAAAAAAATAAGTTCCAAATTGATGTTATAAAAAGAAACAACTAAAATGAAAGCATACGGTTTAAAATTTCCGTGGCGACATTTTACTGAGGTTAAACTCGTCTTTGTTGTAATACAGGCCACATCGCTCCCAAAATCAGTCAAATTAAAAAGTGCTTCAATGAAGAGTGATTATCAATTTTTTAATTAATGGGAATAGGAAGTATAGGTCTCTTTTTGCGTTTTGACTTGGTTGGAGTCAATTTTTGTTATATAAGAGGGAAGATTTTGATTGCAAGGTCAGAATGGAATAGAGCACACCCAGACTAAAGGCTATCATCGGGGAGAAAAGATTGACTGAAGTGTTTAGCAGTAGTACTACTTCTGCTGAAAGGATTCAACAAACCGAGCGTGAAAATCTATAACCTGGGATGATAAAATACTTCTTTTGCTGCTACAATAAAATCTACTATTACCGTTGTTGTTGCTGTTAATGTTTTTGCTTTTTTTTGGAGAAGGTGAATCTTCTAAATTTTATATACGAATGTCTTTTCTAAACTTGTAAATTTATCTTATTCGAAAGTCTTTTCTAAATCTGTGAGAGTTTATCTCATATTTGAGACCGCCTGTTCCAAACATCTGAAAATTTTGCGTAGAGTACCCAGAAAATCAGCTTTGCACAAGGTACGTCGACCTTTTCTCATTCCTTAAATTTTCTCATCTCTCACTTCGACCATCGAATTTTGAATTGGGAGCTTTTCGAAGGGAGTAATTTTTTGTTGATGGCAAAAATTTAATTCATATGAACTGTTGCCCGGAAAGAAAGCTGTTAAAATATATTTGTTATTAAGGAAAACATTTGTTTTACATGAACTGTTGTTTTCTCAGAGAAAACGAATTTGTAATTTGAAGGAACTCTTAATCAGTCTTGACTGTTTAAGGCGTACAAGGGAATTTTTTTTTGCAAGGCCTATATTGTAATTTGTATATTGCAAACATATCTTTGTCATTGTAATAAAAGTATGCTTCTTTATACATTTCACAGTAAGAGGCTTGTCGTTTTTGTTAGTCCCGATAAAAGTATTTGTAAAAGGAATGTAAAGTGATTTCATATCATCTTCCTCTTCTTTCTCTTCCTTCACTTTCCTCCTCTTCCTCCAAACACCCCTCTCTTCCTCCACCCTCCCCTCTCTTCCTCCACCCTCCCCTCTCTTCCTCCAACCACCCCTATCTTCCTCCACCCTCCCCTCTCTTCCTCCACCCTCCTCTCTCTTCCTCCACCCTCCCCTCTCTTCCTCCACCCTCCTCTCTCTTCCTCCACCCTCCCCTCTCTTCCTCCACCCTCCCCTCTCTTCCTCCACCCTCCTCTCTCTTCCTCCACCCTCCTCTCTCTTCGCTTTATTTTTCCTATTGTGAAGGACGTAAACTAAAAAAACATATCAATACGAAGGAGATGAATATTATTTTGTTAGCAAAGTAATTGACAAAAAGAATCAGATTAAAATAAAGGATGACATAAATATCATTTTTTTAATATTCAATTCCACCGGAATCCTAAGCACTAAACAACTCATTGCAATATTACAGCAGTCCTGGGTAAGACGATAAACTACATCCAGCAGCAAGGCGTCTGATCGAGAGATTAGAAGTTTTGAGGAGAGTGATACCACCTCTTAACCCTAACCATCAGTTAAAGTTACACCCCTAATAACCATCGGTATATCATACCCGATTTTGAAAATATCAACAAAAATATATTAAATATAAATCTTTATTTGAAATATTTTACATGCAGACACTTCAAACTTTGTACTTTGAGTTAACAATAATAGTAACTGAAAAACATTATTTAGGTAAGAAAATCAGGTACGGAAAATTGTAATTAAAAATAGGAAAATTTGCGCTGGGTACTATATACCTTTTGTTAGTGTTCTAGGGTTAATTGCTATTGTTCCCAGTGCCAACAAATAGTGAACCTCAAACATAAACAAAACACCATGAAAGTATAAAAACACATTTTTATAGTAAAATTACTGGCAATACATTTTTATATAAAAAATACCAACAATGACTAATTTTTTGTAAATTCACCAACAATACAATTTTATAGTAGAATTATCAAAAATACATTTTATCTGTAGGTATACATTACAATTACGTTCAAAGTATATTTAGTAGAAACTAATAAATCTGTGTTCAGAATATTTAGATTTCGGCATTAAATAACCTACAGATATGCCGCTAAAGAAATTCAACCAACCAACAGAAAACAGTATTTATTTTAGACAAAAATGCATATTCCCAAGCGGGGAATCGAACCCCGGCCGTCGCGGTGAGAGCGCGGAATCCTAACCACTAGACCACTTGGGATATAGCAACTATCTGGTTTCTAAAATCACTCTTATTCACTCTTAATGATAATCGCACTTTTGATATTCATTTGGCATATAATTACTAACAATGTATTTTTTGTTTCTTTCTTTTCATTTAGCGATCTCGAATCGCTCTAACTGTAACAATTTTATTCACCCTTCTTCAATATGAGAACTATGCTTAGATTTTTGGTCAGCTGAAGGGTCGACATAGAATGTTTCGTATGTTAAAAGAATCGGCCTTTCAGTCAGGGAAACTGCGAATCAAATTGTCTTTTTTTATTAATGCTAATAATGTATTTTAGAATAAAAATGGTTGTTTCCGAGATTAGAAAAAAAAACATAAATAGAAAGAAACATTTTAATTTTTTGACGATTTACAATTAAAGATTTTTTCTTGACCAATTAATTTGTGAAATAGTTTCAAGCGCTTATCTTGTATGGATCAGCGTATTAAAATTGAATCACATCATTTTTATAAAAAGGACGCAGATGATTTGCGAGTCTCTCTCTCTCTCTCTCTCTCTCTCTCTCTCCTCTTGTCAACAGAACACAGAAAAACTTAGAAAATATTTACACATTAGTATATGCATAGTAGTCTATATTTGTATACGATGTATATTATATACAGTATTTGTATATGATTTATAAAATCATGAGGTTTGAAAAGGATAAGGTAAATAATGAGAAGATACATGCAAAAGAAGAGAGAATATCAGAGGCATTCAAAAGGGCCAACTAATATAAAATACTTTTTTTTAATTAATAAAGAAAACAAAAGAAAGTTTATTTCCTTAAATGCAATGACGAAAGGAAATAAACGAAAAAAAGAAAATGTAAATAAAAAAAAGGAAGTCTAGCCAATACCGGGGAGAGAATCTCCGAGATCCGGCACTCAGATTATTTTGAGCCACCTACCCACCCACCCCCCGATCGGAAAAGGAGATGCTGGGGCAAACAAACTCGATCTAGCGTGTCTTACAAGACTTTTCAAAAAAACGTTTCTTACTTGGCAACCCTAGCGATCGAGTGGGATATGGCACGAGAATTAGACTTTAAGGAAATCGCGGATTTTGTTTCAATGAAAATTCCAAAAATGCACTTTTGAGCTGCTTTGGAGCCCCCTCCCCTAAACCCTTAAAGGTATTCTTGAGGCCACATGGGTTTCGGGGCCCGGCTTATTTATGCCGGCTGCCCACCGCCTCTCGTCACCATTTAGTGTAGCTTACATTGAGGGACACAAACACCAGATCACTTTTCGCGGAGTGTCTTTAAAAGCCTGATGTTCTACCGACGAAGTTATACAGGCTTACGTCGCTGGCAAAACCGTGATCATCTTTAGAGACGTGCTTTCAGTCAATGAATGTGTGTACTTTTATAGAATAAATTCAAATTTTTACCAGTCGCATTTCTACCACATAAAACATAGAATTATTTCCTCATTTACACCTTGTATATTTTGTATTTGATGATCACTTCCCTACATGCAAACCGCTAGTGGACCGCGGGCGGGCCGCCGAAAGCAACGCCAGCAGTCCTCTGGTAGCAGCCACCGGTGGGCCTATAGCAGTGTAGGGTCATTATTTCATTATGAAAGCAACAACGAGGCAGTTTAGGGCTGTAAACTGGATCCATACTTAAATGTTGGTGTCAGTTTTTACATTGTGTCGACAGGTGAGCCTTATGGAAACATTTTTAAACCAAAATTTAATCACCAAATTAAGCTGAATCTCAATCAACGTCCATAAATTCTCGGAAACATGTTCAATCATGAACTTGCAGTTCTTGCTTGAAAAAGGAAACATGTTCAATCATGGACTTGCAGTTCTTGCTTGAAAAAGGAAACATGTTCAATCATGTACTTGCAGTTCTTGCTTGAAAAAGGAAACATATTTAATGATAGACTTGCAGTTCTTGCTTGAAAAAGGAAACATGTTCAATCATGGACTTGCAGTTCTTGCTTGAAAAAGCAAACATATTTAATGATAGACTTGCAGTTCTTGCTTGAAAATCGGAAACATGTTCAATCATGGGCTTGCAGTTCTTGCTTGAAAAAGGAAACATGTTCAATCATGGACTTGCAGTTCTTGCTTGAAAAAGGAAACATATTTAATGATAGACTTGCAGTTCTTGCTTGAAAATCGGAAACATGTTCAATCATGGGCTTGCAGTTCTTGCTTGAAAAAGGAAACATGTTCAATCATGGACTTGCAGTTCTTGCTTGAAAAGGAAACCTGTTCAATCATGGACTTGCAGTTCTTGCTTGAAAAAGGAAACATATTTAATGATAGACTTGCAGTTCTTGCTTGAAAATCGGAAACATGTTCAATCATGGGCTTGCAGTTCTTGCTTGAAAAAGGAAACATGTTCAATCATGGACTTGCAGTTCTTGCTTGAAAAAGGAAACATATTTAATGATAGACTTGCAGTTCTTGCTTGAAAATCGGAAACATGTTCAATCATGGGCTTGCAGTTCTTGCTTGAAAAAGGAAACATGTTCAATCATGGACTTGCAGTTCTTGCTTGAAAAAGGAAACCTGTTCAATCATGGACTTGCAGTTCTTGCTTGAAAAAGGAAACATATTTAATGATAGACTTGCAGTTCTTGCTTGAAAATCGGAAACATGTTCAATCATGGACTTGCAGATCTTGCTTGAAAAAGGAAACATGTTCAATCATGGACTTGCAGTTCTTGCTTGAAAAAGGAAACATGTTCAATCATGGACTTGCAGTTCTTGCTTGAAAAAGGAAACATGTTCAATCATGGACTTGCAGTTCTTGCTTGAAAAAGGAAACATATTTAATGATAGACTTGCAGTTCTTGCTTGAAAATCGGAAACATGTTCAATCATGGACTTGAAGATCTTGCTTGAAAAAGGAAACATGTTCAATCATGGACTTGCAGTTCTTGCTTGAAAAAGGAAACATGTTCAATCATGGACTTGCAGTCCTTGCTAGAAAAAGGAAACATATTTGATGATAGACTTGCAGTTCTTGCTAGGAAAAAGAAACATGTTCTATCATGGACTTGCAGTTCTTGCTTGAAAAAAGAAACATGTTCAATCATGGACTTGCAGTTCTTGCTTGAAAAAGGAAACATGTTCAATCATGGACTTGCAGTTCTTGCTTGAAAAAGGAAACATATTTAATGATAGACTTGCAGTTCTTGCTTGAAAAAGGAAACATCTTCAATCATGGACTTGCAGTACTTGCTTGAAAAAAGAAACATGTTCAATCATGGACTTGCAGTTCTTTCTTGAAAAAGGAAACATGTTCAATCATGGACTTGCAGTCCTTGCTTGAAAAAGGAAACATATTTGATGATAGACTTGCAGTTCTTGCTCGGAAAAAGAAACATGTTCAATCATGGACTTGCAGTTCTTGCTTGAAAAAGGAAACATATTTAATGATAGACTTGCAGTTCTTGCTTGGAAAAAGAAACATGTTCAATCATGGACTTGCAGTTCTTGCTTGAAAAAGGAAACATGTTCAATCATGGACTTGCAGTTCTTGCTTGAAAAAGGAAACATATTTAATGATAGACTTGCAGTTCTTGCTTGAAAAAGAAACATCTTCAATCATGAACTTGCAGTTCTTGCTTGAAAAAGGAAACATGTTCAATCATGGACTTGCAGTTCTTGCTTAAAAAAGGAAACATATTTAATGATAGACTTGCAGTTCTTGCTTGGAAAAAGAAACATGTTCACTCATGGACTTGCAGTTCTTGCTTGAAAAAGGAAACATGTTCAATCATGGACTTGCAGTTCTTGCTTGAAAAAGGAAACATGTTCAATCATGGACTTGCAGTCCTTGCTTGAAAAAGGAAACGTTCAATCATGTACTTACATTTCTTATGTAAAATCACTGAAACTGCTTCAGTAGTTACAAATTTCATACCAGTGTAAAATGAAAGACTTTAATGAATTCAATAGGAATGAACGATATGTGCATGTAGCCGGCACATTGGTCTGTAGGGTGGGGGGTATGATATTCACTTAAGGTGCGTGAGGTCCCGGACAAGGCCGACTTTTTAGTCGGTTCATTGATTTTTCTTTTTTCTTGTCATCTTTATATAATATTTTAAATTTTGATCATTGGTTTCTCTCCTCTTAGAATTTATGTCTTTGTTCAAAATACAAATTCTCTTATAATTTCGAAGTGGCATTCTCGGAATTTTCGTGCTATTGGGATGAATAGTGATTGCTTGGTCTTGCCTCGCCAATTTCCAAGTTACATGTGGCAGACTGAATAGTTTACATGGTACCTCCAAGAAGAGGGAATTATCATTAATTATAATTATAACTTCTATAAGTAGAATTCTATTACAATTATATACAGGGTAGCAATAAAATCACTATATAATTACTTGGAATAACAATTAAGACAAAGCAATTAATCAACAGTTCAGAAATTTATTATTAAAATGGTTCTGGTTAATTCTGGTTAATAACAATAAAACGTTATGGTAAAAAAAAGTAAATTAATTACCAATACTGTTCAAACGGTAAGTCACCTGCTTCAATGTTTTGCTTTTTTATTATAAGTAAATGTATAGTGACTTTTATTGCCAGAGAGATTTTGAGGATTGTGATATACATATACAGATATATATATATATATATATATATATATATATATATATATATATATATATATATATATATAGTTTATATATCAGACTCATGATGGATAATTGGATGAGAAAATGTAAAAAATCCAGATTATGTTTTATTTATGGAATCTTAAAATTACATATATATATATATATATATATATATATATATATATAAATTCATGAATCATTCATCAAAAAAACAAATATAGAGGTTAATGATTTAAATAGCGAGAATACATCTTCGCAAACAATTTCAATAAGATACACTAACCCCAAACCTGTATATGAATGATATGATCCCTGTTTATAAATTCCAGTTGCATAAGGTCTTTTTAATTTTTTACAAGCTTTCGTCTGTTCTTACAGACATCCTCAGGTATGGAAATAGATTTTGTATATATATATATATATATATATATATATATATATATAGTTTTAAGGCTATGCTATATTTATGGGGTAAAAGTGCTCAATATACAAGATAGAGTGTGCGTAAATGTAAGAGATCAACACCAAGTGATGATAGTCAGTTTTAATCATGTCACATCCCGCCTTGGGTAAATACCCAGTCGATAAATTAATTTGGGTCCATTTTCCAGTGCCGCGGTCGTCGTAACATAACCAGAGACGAAATATATATATATATATATATATATATATATATATCACTCGTATTCGAGTGGTCACTCGTATTCGCGGATACCCGTCTATTAGGGCGGCAAGCCAATCCCTATTGCAGACGCTCGCTCAGTCACTTTTGTGTTTGTTCGACACTAACAAAGTCTACCATTAGTTTATGTTGCAACGATGCTTAGCAGACCTTAGTTACAGTTTATGGGAGAGAACGCGTTATCTAACATGATCAACAATTTGAACAAGGCCAGCACGCTCAAGCCCTCGGCCACGATGACTTGTGGCTTCGTGCTCGCACAGCTATCGACGCCCCCCCAC